TGGGTCATAGGGTAGTGCTATTTTTAGTTTTTTGAGGAACCTCCCATACTGTTTTCCACAGTGGCTGCACCAGCTTGCATTCCCAGAGTGTTTATTTCAGATGAAGGCAGTCTTTCATGTGATTAGAAACATAAGATGAATAGCTTTTACTATACTGACTGTAGTTTTTGAACAAGATTGTCTTTACATGGAAGGTTCATTTCAGACCTGTATCAGCATAAGGTTTGGGTAGAAAAGAATATGAAGGAGGAAAAACTGAAGTCACAGTTGGTTTTACATTGATATTTATAGGGAGTTACAGCTTTGGGTTTTCTCCTCTGATGCTATTTTGAAAAAGTATTTGGTATAATTGAATGCATATGAATTAATTTCTTGTACTTTGTCTGTAGGTACAATTGGTCATGTAGCTCATGGGAAATCCACAGTTGTAAAAGCTATTTCTGGAGTTCACACTGTCAGGTTCAAAAATGAACTAGAAAGAAATATTACGATCAAGCTTGGATATGCTAATGCTAAGGTGAGCTATGTATACTGTGGAACTAGAAATAACTTTGTTGAATGTGCACGTAACAAATTTGAATCTTTTTTTTGTTGGAACTTTTAGATTTATAAACTTGATGACCCAAGTTGTCCTCGGCCAGAATGTTATAGATCCTGTGGAAGTAGTACGCCCGATGAGTTTCCTACAGACATTCCAGGGACCAAAGGGAACTTCAAATTAGTCAGGTGAGCTCTTTCATGCTAAAAACACTTTATATGTCATATTCTGTTGTCTTCTGATTATCCTTTTTGAAGTATTTAACTGAGATCTTAAATAATGAAACTGCTGAATGTTTTTGTTTTTATATTTTTTATTGTTTCTGTTGTCTATAATGACAGTAATTTGAAAAGTCAAGTATTTCAACCTCCATTTAGATTCTTGAGTGCAAATTCTTCAAAGGAAAGGTATCACGCAAGCAGGTGGAAACACAGCTGTTTGGATTTAGGGGATGCTTTTTGCCAGGCTTCCTAAATTTCTTTTAAACAATGTTGTTTCTGTTTTTTAGATAGTGGATGAACAAAGCAATATTTAATTACCTCTCTTAAATACATGGTCTTGTTACCCATCTGTTTTCTGACTATGATTCATATCCTAGTTTTTTATCAGAGGATACAGACTTTTGCCTAGTGGTGTTAATATGGGATTGGGAATGGCCCACAACGAAATTTTAGATTGGGGCAAAGCTGGAACTAAGGAGAGATGAGAGTGAGGCTCTTGCTTTGGGCCCCAAATATAAGGGGGAATATCCCTCCAAACACCTCAGTAATCAGGGTAAATAGTATTTTGAGACAGTGCTTTTTGAAATTAATGCAAAGAAATCTTAATAAATAGAATGTTGTTTGTTTAAATTAGACAATTACAGATTTTTTTCTCTTCATTATCACTGTTTTTGGCTCATTGTGGCATTATTAGTTAATTTTGATACTTTGCTCATCATGGATTTTTTTGCATTAATTTTGTTTTAACAATCTTAAATTTAAATATTATTTATTTGGATTAGTGAGTTTTTTTGGCACCGTCTTAAACTTTGCACCTGAGGCAGATTCCTCCCTTGGCCTCACCCTCGTTCTGGTCTTTGATCAGAGATCACGTTTTTTTTATAAATGGCCAAATTGTAAATATTTACAGCTTTGCAGACCATAGGTTCTCTGTGAAGAGGCTGCTCATCTCTGCTCTTGTGTTATGAAAGCAAATACAAATAATATGTGCTTGAGTGGGTATGGGCCAGGTTTGGCCTAAGGGCCTTAGTCGGCTAACCTCTGAGATCATGCCATCGTGAGCATACACTTTTTGGAAATAGTGATTCTGAATGAGTAGTATAGTTTTATTAAAATAGTACTGCTGTCTCTACTTCACATTGGCAGTTTCAGCTTTTCAAGGTGCTAGAGGAATTTTTGGCAAGTTATTCTTTCAGATGGCAGTGCCTGTTCTGTTAACACTGTTTCAGGTTTCAAATCAATGACATTTCCAGCATATACTCTGTGCCATACTCTATACCCTATTCCTTTTGATTGGATTTGGGAATTTCTGTCTGTGGAAATATGGATTGATCTTAGGACTTATTGTTACTTCTTAATTATTAGACACGTGTCCTTTGTTGATTGCCCCGGCCACGATATTTTGATGGCGACTATGCTGAACGGTGCAGCAGTGATGGATGCAGCCCTTCTGCTGATAGGTAAATACATCAAAGCTGTCTTGGACAGATCAGTGTGGAACAAATCCAGGGTGGGATATTGAAACGAGAACCAAGGCCATTAAGGGCCATTTCCATTAACTAAGGGTGACACCTGACGGGAGGTAACATGTCAACTAGGATGCCATCCCTGCCTACCAGCTGTCACACGATAGTAAACAAGATCTGGGGCTGACAGGTGAATCCTTACAGTAGTATATATTTTGAAAAAGTCGATAGTGCATTTTTCCCCGTCTAGATCACATGAAATGATTCCTTATTTTAGTTTTAAATTTAGTTATAAATGTGCTTTTTTTTTTTTTTTTTTTTTTGGTCTGTGTGTCGTCCACTGCAACATTGACACATAGTGGTTTTATTTAGATGCAGATCTCCTAATAAGTGCTAAAGTGTAGACCTCATTGGGGTTTTCAAAGCTAGGGTTTCTTATGTGAGCTCTTAAGAGATTTCATTGATATGGAACATAATTTTTAAAAGCATGCCATGTATATACAGTACAGGACACCTGAACATCACTGCTTAGGGAAAATGATCAGTGGAGTGCACAACAAAACGTGCTCATTTCTATGTGATACACTGTTGGTTATCTTCACGTTTAGTGTTCTTCCCTCCCTTTGTTAGAGAGTACCCTTTGATGGTAGTTGAAATTCACAGAATGTAATAAGCGTCTTCCCTTCTGAATTACTCTCTGCCCCTCAGGAGCTGGACTGGGCCAAAACATCTCTAAGACTGAATAGAGCCAGAGGGCTATGACTTACCCTTGAACAAAAGCTAAGGGCAGACTCTAAATGCCAAACTTGTTGATTCCAAGCTTCTTGCTTAGGATCAGGGATGAGAGCCAAATGATTTGGAGGCTGTAATGAATGCAAGCACAGAGAGTGAAGCAAGGGCAAAAGGTGGACGCCTGGCAATAATAGTCAGGACTTTTGCCTTGAGTAAGGATAAGACCTGGACAAATTTTCTTTATTAGATGCCAGGCAAAAATTTTTTTGGTAGTAAAATAGACATAAAATAAAATTTACTATTTTAGCTGTTTAAACTGTACAACTCAGTGACATTAAGTACATTCACAGTGTTAGACGAGCATCACCATCTTCTAGTTCCAGAATATTTTCATTGCCCCAAAAGGAAAACCACATGCCCGTTAAGCAGTCACTGTGTACCATATCCCCCCCTCTAGGGGTTGCCCTCCTGGCAACCATTTATCTGCTTTCTGTCCCTGTGGATTTGCCTGGTCTTAATATTTCCAGCTGATTCTCATGGCATCTTTCTGATTCTTTGTCATCTAGCTGGTAATGAGTCTTGTCCTCAACCTCAGACATCTGAACACCTGGCTGCCATAGAAATCATGAAACTGAAGCATATTTTGATTCTACAAAATAAAATTGATTTGGTAAAAGAAAGTCAGGCTAAAGAGCAGTATGAACAGATCCTTGCATTTGTACAAGGTAAGAAGCCGTGATACTTAATAAATCTGTGAATTGTTTAGACACGTATATAGT